CTGAGTATGCCAATCATACCAAACAAGTAGCATCGTCAGAACAATCCAAAAGACCTTAGTGAAGTTAATCATCATATTCAGACGTGTTATATAGTATCTCTCTTCTTGAAATACCCATTTTTTCTTTGGAGGTTGAAAAATAACGAGAGGTTAAAGGGCAGGCTCAGTTATACAGCAGGCTCAAGATCTAGGCTGTTGGAGATCCCATCTTCAAACAAAGAAAACAAATACACATTTCCCAAAATGGCTTTTACCTCATTCTACAGCTAAGCATCTTCAGAATGTAAGCAAATTGGCCTTTCTCTTCAGTTTCTCACTTTAAAAAACTAAGTTCAAGTATCTTTTTTCTCTTTGGTTTTTAAGACAGGGTTTCTCTGTGTAGCCCTGGCTATCCTAGAATTCACTCTGTAAACCAGGCTGGCCTCAATTCAGAGTTCAACTGCCTCTGCCTCCCCAATGCTGGTATCTAAGGTGTGTGCCATCACCACCTGGCTTAGTTTTATTTTAAATAGAGAAGCTTGTCAAGTAAAAAAGTAATAACTATATTGCAAGACAAAACAGTGCCAAAGAATTTCCACTTCAAATGATTCTTTCCACCAAAGTACATAAAAACAGGTTACCTGTCATTATAAAGTATTTTCATAACAGAGATTTCTATTAGAAGCAAGTAAAAATTTTGTCCAGGTGTCTGTCTCAGTGGTGGAGAACATCCAAGAGAAAAGCCCTGAGTTCCAGCCCTAACACCCCAACCCAGTCTCTTTGTAGGACAAGCAGATGCAACCTTACAACTAGCTTACTTTAGAGAGTCAGCTAGCCTCAAGTTCGGGGGGAGGAGGGGAGGCTTTAGATCTGAACATTCACTTTATATTTTGCTTTGGGCTCATTTTTATCTTTTTATTTAGAGCTCTTTTTTTTTTTTTGGGGGGGGGGGGTCTTTGTTTCAGGTGAGTTGGCCTTGACCTCACAGAGATCCACCTACCTCTCTGCCTCTTGGGTGCTGGAATGAGCTGAAGATAGCTCTATACCACAGGGCTGGCAATATGGCTCAGAAGGTGAAAGTGCCTGCCCTGTCAACCTGAGTCTGATCCCTGGGATTCACAGTGGAAGCAGAGGACCAACTCCTCAAAGCAGTACTCTGACCTCCACACAGAGAATTCAAACACACACACAAATCAGTAAGAAGCTGGAAAGGGAGTTCAGTGGTTAAGAGCACTTATTGCTCTTACAGAGGACCAGAGTTTTAAGTCCCAACACCCATGTACACATAACAACCACATGAAAACTCACGCTTCAGAGGTTCCAACATCTCTGACACTTGCACATACTCAACTAACCACATATACATTCACATAATCAAAAAGAATAAATCTGAGAAAAAGATAGTTTTATCTTAGTCATGACATGATCTACAACTTCTATTGCTCACTTACTGAGATGACAATTTTGACTAATATTTCTAAACAAAAAGGTCTTTTTTCCTACTTAAAATACATGCGTGAAATCATTTACACACATGCACATCTAGATATCCATATAGCTTTGTATACAATCCAAGAGAGTGCAACATTTACTCTCCTTTTTTATTATGTATGTGTGTCAGTCCGATGACAAATTGTGGATCTTGGCTCTGTCTACCATGTGGGAACTGGGGATCAAACCCATGTTGATAAGCTTAGCAGCAAGTGCTAAAAACCATTTCACTAGTCCTACTTTCCTTTTCTTAAAAAGAACATAATAAAGCATAAATGCTCTTTAAACTAGAAAAACAACATTATAAGACACTGACTTTTCATTCCCAGAAACAAATCCTTTTCATGCTAGAGATATTTTATCCCAAAAATTATGTACATAACAAGAACTTAAAAATAGATACCAAATATTATTAATAGTATGGTGGCACACACCTAGTTTACAGCACTAAGGAGGCTTCTAAGGTAGAAAGAGGCAAGTAGAGGTTCACCTAGGATATACAAAAGGAATGAGTGTTAAGCCAGTCAAGGCCACAGAGTGTCCAATAAGCCCAGCACTTTCCGAGGTGGAAAATAGCTATTCAGAGCTCAAGGTCAAGATCAACTTCACAGCAAATTCAAGGCCAGCCTGGGCTACAGTAAGACCCCATCCAAAAGAAACTCAGCTCTTTTGAGCTGCTGAGATGGCTCAGTAGATAAAGAAGTTTGCCACCAAATCTAACTTGATTTGTGTTCAATCCACAGGACCTACATGATAGCAGAAAAGACATGATCCCCGTAAGTTGGTGCACACAAATACACATAAATGAATGAGTGAAAAAAGAAACTCATCCCAACTTTTAAGGCTTTTGTCAATATGCGACTGTGAATAATTTTTAAAACTGATTCCTTCAAATTAAGCAAGATTCTAAGACATACCAGAAACATAAGCACACATACATTTGTAGTCTCCATCAAGTTATCAGTAAGCTCCTGGGTGAAGTGTGGTGGAGATAGGATGGGGATTCATCAGACACAATATAGAACACTAATCCCAATATAATTATCAATCACCGTCCTAGCGTGAAAAATAACAAAAATGTAAAAATACAAAGCCACAAACACACATAAGGTTCATCAAAAGTGTATTATCAAATTTAAAATTCTTTAAGGACCATAAGACGCTAAAGTGAGCTGTGCTTTTATCACACAGAAAGTCCTATGCAAGATGCAATGCAAGAGAAAAGGTCTATTTTAAAGAGCTCTTAACAAAATGACCAGTCTTTATGTTCTCATCGTTGATGTTCATTAAGAAATTTAAAAAGAAAAACTATTTTAGTGAAGACAAGTATTTCTTTACTAGATTTTTTTTTTCAGTATACCATGGTTTTGTTGCCAAATATTTGGCATTTGTTAATTTAACACTCATTTGGCTAGAATAATTAAAAAACACTAACCAGAGCATATATGTAGATGAAATTTTTGCAGATGATTTTTTTTATACATATACACACGTGAACATAAGTAGTTGCTTTAGAGCAGGGATGCTGCTTTTATTCCAATTATTCAATGCCCTTCTTAAAAAAAAAAAAAGGTGCAAAACCTGGGATTTTAAGATCTACTACAGAGAAATGCCTTTGTTGTAGCTACAATTAGTATCAAATATCCTTACAAATCATAAGGATGAAGAAAATTCGATGAAAGGGCAATGGAGCATTTCACAGCTTTTGCTGGCGCTCTTACTCCACCCAGTCCTCCGGGCTCAATGGCTGTTCAGAGCATCCACAAATATTAGCCCATTTCCAAGGAGTGGGAGGACGTACCAAAACGGTGTACTCCATCAAAACCAACATAAGCAGAAACATTTTGTGAAAGACTGAGTTCCTTTCTCTGACTTTTAAATTTTTATACATGTATAATTTATTGCAAGAAATCCTTTCCTCTGAAATCAAACAATAATCTTTTAAACATACCATGAAAGAATAAATTACCCTAAACACATATTCTGCTTTAATAAAAACAGCAATTTCTAACTGCCAATTATTCTTGCAGAACTATGTCCTGAAAGACACCCATTAGAAATAAAAGCTTGCTAGAGCCTTAAAACAGAACCAATTTTTAAAGTTAAAGCTTTTAACGTATATTCAACATATTATTACTGGCATATCCAACTAATCCCTGATCAGGGATTGAATCCTGCAGCAATCAAGCTCTACTGCAGGGGAAATTTTAAGCAAACACTGCTGTGGCAAAATAAAGAGGGAAGACAATATTGCTGATATGAAGGCCTAAACAAGGTCTCCACCATCCCAACCCCAGAAGAGAATTTCACACAAAACAACCCACCTCAACAAAATGGGAATTGCTAAAATGACCTTTTTGTCGCTCAATCTTTTGAAGGTTGTGAATCTTAAGGAGTGTGTGCTTTAAAAGACTAAAGGTCGGAAAAAGTCATTTTATTTTCTCCTAACTGCCTCTTAAAAGAAAGGGGGGTGATCCTTGGCATGACATCGCCCACTGAGAATGAGACCACAGATCCGGTACTCTCCTTCAAAAGCACCATTTCTTCAAAAATAAAAAAAAAAAAAAAAAAAAAAAGAACTGATAGGAATTAGATCCAAACCCAACCTCAACGGAAAATGTCCTGCCCTCCTCCCAAGGAGTTTCTTGCTAAGTCACTGGGAAAAAAGGCAGGATAACAAATAAAGCCGGGCACCTTGCCTTCTCCCATCTTAAGACAGTGAAAACCTCTCCTCATGGGAGTCAAAATAAGCCCCCCACCTCAAAAGCATTTTCTCACCTGAGAGGCTAGGGAGGGTAAATAAAGAGTCACAGCGTTTTCCTAACGCTGTGGAGAGATGGGATGAAGGCAACCGCAGAGAGGCTCGGCGCTCAGCGTTAGCAACGTCAAAAGGCAACTCCCGTGCGAGGAGGCAGGGGCAAAAAGAAAAATCCTGCCCGATTCGGCGGGTGGACGCAGCAGAGCTCCGCTGGGCGCAGAGGCTGGACCGCCACCGCACCGGGGGGCCGCGGGCCTCGATGGGGCGGCAGGCCATCGTCCTCGGTCGCCCCCAACCTGCGGACAGGTGGGGAGCAGGCCTGGCTGCGGGGCCGCCGGCCGCGCAGGGGTGGGGACTGCGGGCTCGCTTCCGCGGCCGGGAGGGCCGAGCCCTCTCCCCACGACCAGAGGGCGACCTGCTCTCCACGCCCTTCCCACCCAGGAACACTTTTCTTGCTAAGTCACGGCGCGGGAGGGCGATGCCGCCCGAGAGGCCACCGCGGACGCCGCGCCGGAGGGCCGGGGCCAGGGCAGCGCCCTCCCCGGCCAGGCCCCCCTCCTCGGTGCCTCTCACTCAACGGCCGTCGCGGCCGCCATTTTGAGAGCGAGGAGAGGAGAAGAAGAAGGAGGAGGCAGCGGCGGCAGGGGGAGGGGAGGATGGGAGGGAGGGGACCGGCGCAGCCACCTCGTCAGGCAGGCGGCCGGCCCGGCCCGCGGCCGCCCGAGCGCGGAGGAAGAAGCAGAGGGGAGGGCGCAGAGCGCCGCCGCCTTACCGGAGCGCTGCACCGCCGCCTCCGCAGGGCCTCTTCCGTCCTTCACTCCCATCCACCGGCGGGGGAGGGGGAGGGAGAGGGGAGGGAGGAGGGAGGGAGGGAGGGAGGGGGAGGATGGCGCGCTGGGCCCGGTCCCGGGGAGGGGGAGGGGAGGGCCGCGGGCGGGCTCCTCGGCCGTTCCGGAGCTCGAGCCCTAGCCCGGCGCTCCCGCGTCCTCCTGCTCGCGCTCGAGCGCTCCCCTCCGGCTCCTCCTCGCTCCCTGGGCCCTCGGGTCGCCGCCCGTCCGCTCCTCGCTCGCTACCGCGGCCGCCGGACTCGCCGCCGCCCCGCCGCTCCAGCACCGTCTGTCACAGGAGCTGCCCCAACGCCCTGACGTCACCGCGCCGCCGCCGCCCTAGACCCGCCGGGAAGAGGGCGGGAGCGGAGGCTGCGGCGCATGCGCGGGCCGGCCCGGCCGGGGCCGCGCGCCCTTCCGCAGGGTGGCGAGGCGCCCGCTCCCGGGCCGGGGGTCGCGGCGCGGCTCCGCTCGCCCCTCCGCCCGCCGCGCCCTGGGGAAGAGCCCCCCTTGCCCTAGGCTCTCGGCTGACTGTGGGGGCCCGTCACGCGCTGCAGCTCTGCTTTGGCCCTCGCTACGCTGCCCCTGAGGACCGCGGGTCCCTGGCTGCACCGGCGCCTTGGCCCCGGCTGGCTCGAGTGGAGCCAAGCCAGGCTGCTTCCTTTCTGCCTCGAGCCTGTAGGCTCATTCCCCATCCCCCAAAAAGGGCGAGAGTAAATTGGTGGGCTTGGACTGAAGAGCTGTCGAGGTGAAAAGGCGGATGGACTGCCTTGTGCTCCTTTCTGTTACAGCTGTTTTTTAAATTGGAAGGAATCGCTCGTAGATGTGATTCAGCTATTCTTTGCCTTAGTCACATGTACACATCAGAGATCGTGGAAACTGACGTCCACAGAAAGACCTGGAACTTCATCCCTACAAGGCATGTCTGTGTTGTATTATGAATCTGAAGTATTGATGACAAGACTGGGGGATTCGTTGTCTAACTTATTCCACATAGAGACACTTGATTTTTGAAAGGGTAGGTTTAGAGCCCTGAATATTTTTTTGTTTTTTTAAATATTAATAAGAGGTATAGAATGAGATTACTTCATTATTCACTTGTGTTTTCCAACACTCGGGCTTAACTGATTCTATGGCGTCCCTTCATAAACGTAAATACTGTACTTTGCGCTTGGAAACCTGCAGAGTTAACATCTCCCTTATGAAGCCTGGTGCCACCACTGGCTGGGAATGTGACCTTGACTAAATTACCATATCTCTCTGGCCTCAGTATCAGTAAAAATAAACCTAGTAGCCAAACAAAGTGACATAGCCCAAGCTACTTGAGAGGGAGGAGAATCGCAGGAGTCCGAACTTCTCGGCCAGCCTCAGGAGCATCGTTTTTTAAAATAATGATAATAGTAATAAATAAGCTATGGTGGCTCACATCTGTAATCCTAATACTGCGGAAACAGGCAGGCGGATTGCCACCAGTTATTATAATGTACATAGTAAGACCCTATCTTAAAATAGTTAAAGCCGGACATGGTGCTTTAACGTCAGTACTCGGGCGGCAGAGGCAGGTGGCTTTCTAGGAGTTCCAAGACCTGCCTTGTCTACGCAGAGAATTCCAGGCCAGATAGAGCTACATAGAGAAACCCTGTCTCAAAAAATAAATAATAAGCTGGCCGATGGTGGCACACACGTTTAATACCAGCGCTTGAAAGCAGAGGAAGGCGGAGCGCTGTGAGGTCAAGGACTGCCAAGGCTACACAGGCAAATCCTTTCTTGAAAAATAAAGATAAATAGATAGATAGATAGATAGATAGATAGATAGATAGATAGATAGATAGATAGATAGATA